ATGCTAGGTGAGAAGTGCAGCTGCACCTTCCTCCTCCTCCTCCACCGCCCTTTTCCTCCACCATTTCCCTCCTCAAATCAATGCAATCACCATTCTCACCACTGCGGCTGCTATCTACAATCCAATACTAATAATATTTTTCTTCTTTTGGTCCGAATAATTGTTCAAAAATGATGAGATCCTCACCATCAGATCTGCCGCTACAGAATTTCAACAATCCTAATTCATTTTTTTTATCAATGTTTCAATCTAATCCTATATATACGTATCTATTACCAAAACAAATGCAGAGAGTAAATCAATCAATCATTCAACGTAAATGAAAACCTATGAATCAAAAAATTATAGCACTAGAAAATAATTATAAGTGTTGACCTCAAAAAATGACTCCGACACGTGGCCAATAGGAAATATCTTCAAGTTAGCTTTTCCTGCACACGTGGCACGCCATTAGTCACTCGTGGCCTTTCCCGAAGGGGTTGGGAGTGGCTGCGAGCACTCCGACGATCAAGTCAGTTTGAAATTCAACCGAAAAAGGGTTCACCGGCGGTAAAGTACTCGCTGGGAAGTGGTTGACAAAGTGCATATCGAAAGATGTTAATATTCAAGGGAAGAGAATACTTACTTTCACAATGTAGTAGTAGTTTTGACTGGAAAGATATGTGCAAGAGATCTTTGACGAGGGGAGGCGAGGCGTTGCAGTGTTGTAGAAGCGGAGTGCAGGCCTTTGCATCCACGGTGTTCTTGGGGATGAGTCTGGTTCATTTGTTGACGCTATTCAGTTCACATTGGTACGATCACTTCGGTATATACAATCAGCTCGTCACATGGGACAATCGCCTCATCCGACATGTGGCTTGGTGTGGGTCACCCCTGATGACACGTGGAGGATGAAGTAGCGGGTCTGACACAAACCCATAACAATATGTATGATGTATATATTTGCAATAAAATTTGGGAAAATGAGTTCAAATGGCCACTCTTCACAAACATTTTGTCCAATTGGCTTTTGACTGAAATGAATAAACCAAAAGTAATTTTTATTAATTAAAATTGTCAAAAGACCCATATAACCTTATCTTGTAAAATAAAACTTCTTGAAATTCAAAGGAACTGGCCCAAGAGTTTACCGTCACCATCTCCATTTCATCTCCAACGGTCTCACTCTCTATCTCTATCTCCATCTCCATTTCACCTTCAAGAATTGTACCACAGTCTCGAGATTTCCCTAAGGTAAGCCTGCGAAAGCTTAAGTGAAGCAGTGGTGTGATTTTCTCTCCTCTTAAAGATTTATGAACCATCTGTATAATCTCAACTTCCGGCCACACCCATGACGTCGGACCTATACCAGTCGATTGCCCATGCTCAGAAGACAACCAAGGCCACAATTTGTTCCAATCATCCATCTAGATGCACAAATTTTCACCACGAAACTGCTCAGTCGCGACTGTCGCGAAACAGCTTAAAAAAATGGCGATTTCTCATCCGTCCGGACGAACCTAGGTCGTGGACCACCTGGGCCTGTTTTGCCCTAACCTGGCGCACCTTGCCCAGGCATGGGTCATGGCCGAATGTACCCAGGTCTCGATCAATTTGTGGTTACTGCGAGAGCTTGGATAATAAAACGTGAAATGAAGCATAATCTTCGATAATAATTTCACATTTGGTTGTAGATTTGGTAATTGTATTAGTAGAATGTTAGTATGAGCTTTTGTGGTGAATTACTACGGTGTTTGCAATCTGTACAGAATTTCTATTCCTTATCGAAAATTTGCATGCTCAACTTGGTTTATACATCTTATACATCTTGTTCGAATATGTTTTACCGTCATCACTTAATATTTGTAATTATTTTATAACTTGCATTGATATGGAGAAGATTCAAGTTGATGCTACAATTACAACGAGATGCAAAATGCAAGTCATACAAGATGTTTATGAAAAATTAGATACAAATTACAAGAACAAGCTCCGCGAGAGTTGTTTTGGATCTCTTCTTCGATTGAGAGACATAAGGTTAGCTTCACATGTTATACATCAATTATTATTACGAAAGATGAAAACCAGAAAAAAAAAAGAAGCTTGGTTTAAGATAGGCAACAACCGAGTAAGATTCAAATTGCAAAATTTTGTTTTAGTGACGGGCTTAAATGCCGATGATGATAACAACGTGGATAGGACTTTAGGGACGGAGTGTCGGATCGTCAAAGAATATTTTAAGAAAAGCGGGGAGAAGATTACAAGGGGAGATGTTTACAATGGTTTTGTAAGCTGCAAGAAAAAAAGAGCGACAAATATAAATTGGGATTGATTGTAATCTTGGGGTACGTCCTATGGGCCTCAGAGGAAAACACCTACATCGATTTATGCTGGCTGGACTTGGTGGATCAGCTGGACAGGATTGAGAAGTACCATTGGAGAATTTTCATTTGAATATACGATGAACGTCTTCAAATGTGAAAGGGGAGGTAAATTAAAAAGTTCGGATGTCGGAGGAGAGTTTGTTGGTATTCGTTGCACGGCTTTCCACTCGCTATAATGGTATGAAAAAATAACGCACTTCACTTGTATTATTTTTTATGTACAAACTTTGTGCTATGAGATAATAATATTTGTTTTACAATAGAATTGGGCATTTGAAGCGAATCCAAAATTGGGAATGAAGTTTGCTACGAAATAGCCGAATACAATTCCAAAAATGGTCGCTTGGGAAATGCCGAAGAGGTTAGCAACTGCCGCCATTGATAATGTGTTGGAATCGAAAGAGGTAAATTTCCTTCTTTATTTTTTTAAGTATAGTGAGGATAAATTGTGGAATCAGCTTAGCAAATGAATAATGATTTGCACGATTTAATATTTGTAGTTAGAGGTTATTTCTACATTGATTCCTACTCAAACCGAACTGGAGAAGGTGTTCTGGAAAACTTTGACCCCAATTGTGGAAAAAGATGATAATGCTTCATAGCATGTCGAAGGAGATGAGGTTGAGCATGATGTCGAGCCACATCATGCATTCTACTAGCACTCTCCTAGTGCATCTCAACCTCCACATGTTTCTCATGAGCTCAACATAGTGGATTTTTTGAGAACCGAAATGGAAAAACTCGAGGGAAGGCTACAAGCAATCATATCAACTCAAGTTGATCGGGTGGAGAAAAAGGTTGACATGTTGATTGAATTGGCTGTGATAGGTCAATTTCATTCAGGGACTAGTGCGTTTGATGGTGCCACTAGTAGAACAGCTGATGTTCCAGAAGCTGAACCGAAAGATGGGTTGGAAAATGAGGTTGGATTTGATGATGCGACGAATGCGCCTGTAGATGAGAGAAATGTGGAAGAGCTTGTGAATGACCCAAAGTTGGAAGATGAGGTCAGAAGAGAGACGGTAGGAGAGAAGGAAACCGATGTTGGATTTGGGGATGATATGGAGAAGCAAGAAAAAGAAAAAATGGTTGAAGAGGATGTTGAAAAAGAAACAATGGTAGAGGATGAGCATCTCGATGTGGAGAAATGTTCCGCTGATTTTGTGAGGCCCGAGAAACTCGAATTAGATGCGAATGAATCCAATCCAGGTACATAAAAATTAGTTTGATTTACAAATTCATGCCATTACAAAATCCTAATTAAATCAATTTTAGATTTCTAATTGTTAGTATTTGCAATACATAGGCGACAGTATACAGATTGAGGAGGTAGCGTGTAATTCACCAAAAGGACGGGGGTGTCGTTCAAAGAGAAAAGCTCAATTATTGTGTTCTCCCTTCACGGACCCGACAAAGGGGAGAAAGTTGTCAAATGTCGATGTATATGATCCTTATAGAGAGGTGGATCCTGTGAAGGTTGAGGCTCTTCAGAAATGCATGGAAACTACAGCTCAAGCGTAAGTTACTACCAATAGTTGCAAGTACATATGAAGGGAATGATATTATTACATAAAAATAACTTTGTGTTGATTTTTTTGTATGCGCAGTGAAGTTATTACTTTGCGATTTTATGATGTCCTATCAAAAAATTTGACCGACCTGTTGAATGCGGAAGGTTAGCTTACTGGAAGTGTAAGTAATCAAATTTTAATGATTTTACGATAACGCTAGATATAAATTTAGTTTATATGCATTGCTTGTGAATTCACCATTCAACCTCATTTGGCAAAGGATATTCGAATACAGAATATGCTTGCTTCCAAAAAATACTTGTATAAAAGTAGTTGCATAGATTATAGCCATCATCTCCTTTAAACCTTACAGCAGCAATTGCATGCGCGCATGGGAACTTGTCTAGATCAAATTTCCTACAAGTACATGTCTTTTCATCTAAATCCACAAAGTGGTGTTCTAAACTGTCACCAACCTAATAAATGTCTGGAGATACATGATTTACCTCCAATCCATTTGATTCATTATATTTCATGCATATATTTTTCTCTAAAGGTGGCGTAAGGTGGGTTACACATTTTTTCGCTTCAACATGTCCTTCATAAAACCACCTTTGCAGTGTCTCTCGAATATATTCAATCAAACCAACTATGAGAGATTCTCGAGCACTCTTCAAAAAACTATTTAGGGATTCCGCATTATTCGTAGTCATGATATTGTAACGTATTCCTGTAAAATGTGCTCTAGCCCAATAATGGAAATCTTCTTCTAATAGGTACTCTTTGACCCCCTTCTTTTTACTGAATAGAGCTGCCATGTTGGACTCAAAATCTGTTACAGTATAAGCCTCCGAAGTTTCCCTAAATAAAGTTGCAAGATCACTTTGTGGAAACTATGTCTTCAAGTTCTTTTGCATGTGATATGTACAATTACCATGATGAGCAAACTGAAAAACATTTCTAACTCCATTTTTAATACATGTTGCACGGTCAGAAATAATCACAAGCTCATCCGTATCACCTGTTATTAACCGCAACTTCTGAAAGAACCAAGTCCATGATTCATCATTCTCTGAATCAACGACTCCCCATGTGAGTGGAAATATTTGAAAATTTGCATCTTGACAGGTTGCTACTAGTAGAGTACCTTTCATTCTTGATTTCAGGAATGTACCATCTATAGAAATTACCCTTCGCATTGAGTTGAGGAATCCACGTATACTTGGTCCCAATGCCATAAAAAAGTACTTGAAGCGCCGATCATCAGTAGTATGAATGAATGTCAG